TCACAATGTTTCTTACATAGCATACATGTCAACATAATTCTTATGACGAAAATCATAACGTCAATAACGATTATTATTAACGGTTAAAGGTACATCGAAGTACTATTACTCACAGCATTGTGACGACGTTCTAGTCCCTCCTAGAGTATGTCCTGTACACATTTAAAGTTCACAAATTAGCTTTCTTCTTCCTTGTTAAAATAATTCTTGAGTCATTACACTTCAAATGAGTTTACAACCATCGAAAGATCATCAGAAATATTGTAAAAATAACAGAGGGTCGAGCACGCAAAACGGAGCAAGCATTCTTTCAGACCTGGGCCGCACGTGCGGCAGCCCCCTCCGCACGAGCGAGCATGGACCGCACGTGCGGTCCTCTTTCTCCGCACGAGCGGCCGTAGACAGTATGTAAACCCAGATTTTTCCCTCTTCTCCGCACGTGCGGCCAATCCCCTGTTTGGCAGTCTGAAAATTTGCAATCAAACTCATCTTTTGGGGAATGTTTTTAGGGCTCAAGGATGGATCTTTTCAATACTAAATCATGGTTCAAAAACATGTAATTCAAGGTATCACATACACAATCTAACTTGCATTAACCCATGAACATAACTCAATTTGATTAACCAAGAATTGAAACTCATAAACACAATTCCATTTCTTGAAATTCTTAACTTTACTTGCATCCAACATAACATAAAGGCATAAAATCATGATCATAAGAATAAATACCAAGGTGCTAATGAAGGAGACACGTAAATGATAGGATTAACATACCAAAACTTCAACATACTCATCCAAGATTCTCAATATACTCTAGATCATGCCATAATAAGAACTTCCTATTTCAAATTGAGGAAGAGGATTGGACTAGGAATATTACACTTACCTTAGCTTCAATTTCCCTCAATTCTTCCTTGAAGAACCCTTCTTTCTCTCTAACTTCCTTCTTTCAGGATAGTTTGAGCTCCAAGTTCATAAGTCAACATAAGAGGATAGCTGCATATATATCCATAAGGAGTGAATAGGACAAAATTCTATCGTTTAATCATGCCGAAATTGAAATTTCGTAAACATGCTTAATATTACCTAAAAATTATGCTGATCACATATATATAAGCAATTTCAGATAATTAAGTCCCTAGGGCTTCCAATTTCTGATTTAACATAATGATTGTAACAGATGCTTTTCCTTATTAAACAGATACAGGTTCGATTCATAAGACATATATTTACTTAAACTTAATTTTTCATGACGTTTCACATTAGGCATTTGAAAGCACAGAATGAAGACTAAAATATAGCAGAAGCACATACCGAGGGTCAGGTTATTACACTCTCCCGCCCTTAAATAAGTTTGGTCCCTCAAACTTGTTTGTACCTCAAAACGAAAACAGATGCGGATACTGGTGTTGCATATCCTCTTCTTTTTCCCAAGTAGCCTCGGTTCCATAATGTTCTTGCCACTCTACTGTTACCCTTGGAATTTCTCGATTGCGTAACTGTTTCACTTGCCGATCCAAAATTCGAAGTGGTTTTTCTTCATAGCTTAGCTTATCATCCAACACAATTTGGTGGTATTCTATGACATGAAATGGATCTGACAGGTATCTTCGAAGCATAGAGACATGGAACACGTTATGTACTTGGCTCATGCTCGGTGGGAGGGCTACTCGGTAAGCTACCGGGCCCACTCTTTTCAGAATTTAGGGACCAACGTACCGGGGTGTTAACTTACCCCTTTTTTCCAAATCTCGGATGGCCTTTCAGCGGTGTGACTTTCACAAACACATGACTACCCACTTCAAATTCCAAATCTCTTCGATGGTTATCCGCATAACTCTTCTGTCTGCTTTGAGCCGTTTTCAATCTTTCTCGGATAATTTTCACCTTTTTCGTTGTTAATTGCACAATTTCAGGCCCTAGCAAAGAGCTATCCCCAACTTCAGCCCAACATATTGGGGAACGACACGGCCTCCCATATAAAGTTTCATAAGGTGCCATCTCAATACTCGAATGGTAACTATTGTTGTATGCAAATTCTACCAACAGTAGATGAGTTTCCCAACTGTCTTGAAAATCTAGCACACACATTCGGAGCATATCCTCTAAAGTTTGTATAGTTCTCTCGGATTGACCATCGGTCTGAGGGTGAAAAGCTGTGCTGAACTTAAGTTCTGTACCCATAGCTTCTTCCAGACTTTGCCAAAATCTCGAAACAAACTTGGGATTCCTATCCAACACAATTGAAACGGGAACACCGTGAAGCCTTACAATTTCATTCATATACAGTACTGCAAGCTTATCCGCATTATATTGAGTTTTCACTGGTAAGAAGTGGGCAGACTTAGTTAACCGATCTACAATGACCCCTATCGAATTCATACCACGGGGAGTCCGTGGTAGTCCCACAACAAAGTCCATGGTCAAATGTTCCCACTTCCATTATGGGATTGGAAGGGGTTGTAATAATCCTGCTGGTCTTTGATGTTCTGTTTTTACTTGCTGACATTGTAAACATTTAGAAATGAATTCCGCGATCTCCTTTTTCATACTTGGCCACCAAAAATTTTGTCTCAAATCCTGGTACATTTTAGTACTTCCCTGATGTATTGCAAATCTTGAGGCATGTGCTTCTTCCATCAATTTCCGTTTAAGTTCCAACACATTAGGGACACATATTCTGTTTTCAAACTTGAGCACCGAATCCATTAAACTGAACTCCGGTTTTGGTTTTGTCTCTAACTCATCACATATCTTCCTTAAAGTGTCATCCTCCCTTTGATGCAACTTGATCTCTTCAAGTAAGGTCGGTTGAGCCATTACTGCTGCCATTAAAGCTTCTTGGCCATGTAACACAAAGTCTAATTCCATCTTACTCAATTCAATTGCCAATTTCTTTTGCCCTGTAACCATACTTGCCATAATCCCCATACTTTTCCGACTGAGCGCATCTGCAACTGTGTTGGCTTTACCAGGATGGTAGTGAATCTGCAAATCATAATCTTTAAGAAGTTCCAACCACCGTCGCTGCCGCATATTCAACTCTTTTTGAGTAAAAAGGTACTTGAAACTCCTGTGGTTAGTATATACTTCGCAGGTGGTGCCATACAAATAGTGTCTCCATATCTTTAAAGCAAAGACTACTGCAGCTAATTCCAGATCATGCATGGGATAATTCTTCTCATGGGGTTTCAGCTGCTGAGAAGCATAAGCGATGACTTTTCCATTTTGCATAAGTACACAACCAAGCCCTTTATGCGAAGCATCACTGTAGATTACAAATCCTTCTGTACCAGATGGGAAAGCCAAAACTGGTGCTGTTGTCAACCTTGTCTTCAATTCTTGGAAGGTAGATTCCCGCTCTTCTGACCATTCGAATGGAACTCCCTTTCGAGTCAGTTGTGTAAGTGGCACAGCAATTTTAGAAAAATCTTGAACAAATCTCCTGTAATAGCCAGCTAACCCCATAAAACTACGCACCTCAGTCACATTAGTAGGAGTTGGCCATTTCACAATTGCCTCAATCTTGTGTAGGTCGACGAAAACTCCTTCCTTTGTAATAACGTGCCTCAAAAATGCCACTTCTCGTAGCCAGAATTCACATTTCTTCAGCTTTGCATACAGTTTCTTCTCCCAGAGGGTTTGAAGGATCAAGTGAAGATGGTTCTCATGAACTTCTACATTCTTTGAATAAATGAGAATATCGTCGATAAAGACCACCACAAATTCATCTAAATAGGGCTTGAAAACACGGTTCATCAAATCCATAAAAGTTGCTGGTGCGTTTGTGACTCCGAAGGGCATAACCAAAAATTCATAATGACCATACTGGGTTCGAAAAGCTGTCTTCTTAACATCATCAGCCTTGACCTTTAATTGATGGTATCCAGACCGTAGATCAATCTTGGAAAATACTTGTGCCCCCTGAAGCTGATCAAATAGGTCATCGATTCTTGGCAATGGATACTTATTCTTGACTGTAACTTTATTAAGTTCCCTGTAATCGATACAAAGCCAGAGTGTTCCATCCATCTTCTTTACAAACAGAACTGGTGCACCCCACGGAGACACACTCGGACGGATAAATCCCTTGTCCAGTAACTCTTGCAACTGTATTTTCAATTCCTTCATCTCACTGGTGACATTCTATACGGAGTCTTCGAAATGGGTTGAGTTCCCGGTGCCACTTCAATTGTAAATTCAATTTCGCGGTCTATCAACTGCCTTGGCAATTCTTCGGGAAAAACATCCGAAAATTCACGGACCACTGGAATCACATCAATACCCCCATTCATCACTTGTTTCTCCAAAACACTACATAAATACCCCTGACATCCTTTCTGCATTAACTTACAAGCCTTTACGGCAGAAATCAGATAAGGTGGTGAAGTCACTTCCCGACCTTGAATAATAGACTCTGGTTGCCCCGGAGGATGGAAATTGATTTGCTTAGTCAAGCAGTTCATAGTCGCACCATAATCACTCAGACAATCCATTCCCAGAATAACATCAAAAGAGGTCATGTCGAGAGGTAACAGGTTAGCATACACCCGAATATCCCCAAGTTAAAGTTCACAAGCTACATATACCGAAGCACAGATCATAGAGTCTCCCAAAGGAGAAGACACACACAACATATAAGACAAGTTTTCTTCAGTTTTATCTAACTTAGGGGCGAATAGTTTCGACACAAAAGAGTGGGTGGAGCCAGAATCAAACAATACATGCGTAGAATGGCCATAAACAATAAATGTGCCTGACACCACTGTTGCTGCATTTTGTACATCATCTGGAACTAATGCGAACACCCTACCTTGCCTTGCAGTATCTTTATTATTAGTAGGTTTAGCAGTTGCCTCCGCGTTGGGGGTTGGTGTAGACCCCGCAGAACTTGTAGCAGTCATATTGCCCTTTTGTTGAGTCCATTGCGGGCAATGCCTTACCAGATGACCCATTTTGCCACATTTAAAACAAGCTCCAGTCTTCCAGTGGCAAGTCCCTCAATGTTGCCTTCCACAATCTGGACACACTGGAGTGGAGTTGTGTGTAGGGGTGGTGATGCTGAAGTTCCCTGAATTCTGCTTCTTGTTTAGTGGGGTAACTGATCCTTTTGACCATTGATTATTCTGCCTCTTCCCTTTCCACTCGAAAATTCGATTCTGAGCAGCAAGATTCCCTTCTGCTATAACGGCCCTTTCTTGCACATCGACATAAGTAGGTAGCTTTAACATATTGACCCGGTCTAGGATAGCACCCCGTAAGCCCCCTTCAAAATTTCGTGCCTTCTTATAATCCGAATCCACCATATGAGGCACAAACCGAGCTAGTTCTGCGTATTGGGCTTCATATTCAACAACAGTCTTGTTCCCTTTTCTGAGAGTTTCAAATTCAGTCACCTTCTTATCTCGCATGCTTTGGGGAAAATACTTGTCGTAGAACAATTCTAGAAATCAATCCCATGTTAATCCTGGGTGTATGGTCCTTGTGAGCATCCACCATCTCCGCGCTTCATCCTCAAGAGTGAAAGCAGCCAATTGCACTTTTTGAGCTTCTGTACAAGGGAAAACTTCGAATAGTTTCTCGATTCCCAACACCCATGCTTCAGCTTTCATTGGTTCTATGCCTCCTTTGAAGACTGGCGGTTTCATCTTTTTAAACTCTTTAGTAAGGGTGATGGTTCGGTCTTCAGCATGAAAATCTGGTACTGCCGATGGCGGTACCGGTGGTGGTGGCGGTTGTTCTGGTGGCTGTTGCTGTTGTTGTGGCTGTTGCTATTGTTGTCGTAGGGTCTCCGCCATTTCCATAAGCATTCTCTCCATCCTATCCAACCGTGCAGAAGTAGCATCTTCCGCATCTTCTGTCCTTGGTCTCACCATTTTCTACACAACAATCAATTATATACAAGAAACATAATACAAGGTTGTTAGCATTATCAGAGTACACTTAACGTTGCCATCCCTCTTTCATATACTTTCAAGATGTCATGCAAGATGCCTAAAGCTTTTCTAGACACCCTAGGCTCAACGGATCCGTGGTGAGATAGCAACTCATGCTCCGATACCACTTGTCACGCCCCTAACTCGCCCCTAAAAGTTTGGGCATGACCTACATAGAAGTAGACACTTAACCTGATATATATATATATATATAATTTAGGGGCCTGTACAGAAGCCTTGACATCATAGAACAATACATGAGAAAGTACGACGTCCATTGAGCCACTATTACCATGCCAGGATCACAGACGTAGTATAAAACGAATAGACATAGAGAGGTACATATGTGAGAGCTAGTTATAAACATATACATACACATATACAGAACTTGCCCCATGGTTGGGCGTATAACAAAACATTATGTACATCTCATTCTAAGCCAATAACTAAGGTGCAAGCCATAACTTAACAAAACACCACCAAAAATTTTAGGCTTTGACCCAGTGCCTGGCTACGCTTAGGCTGACAAAAAGGTGACGATGCCGGCTTAGGACTGACCTCCTGATTGATTACCTACAGAAACAGACATAACATAAAGTGAGCCAGGCTCAGTGAACAATAGTACTTAAATGCATCAGTTACTTAATTAAAAATGTAACGCACATAAAAGTGTAGCAATACAGAAATCATGTAGTAGTCTGATTCCGTTCGGGCAAACAGAACAATGCTGTCGGTTCACAACTTCACAGTTTGGCACTTGGCCTGAAGAGTTCACACATTCACAAATGAGCCCTTGGCTTTTTAGTTTCACAACTTAGATGCACAACTTCACAAATTGGCCCCCGGCCTATGAGATTCATAGTTTCACAAGTTACTGATTCTTACTTCACAAGTTGGCCCTCGGCCTCATCATTTCATATTTCACAATTGGCCCTTGGCCACATAGGTTCATAACTTCACAAACTCGTTTGATGTTTCCATAATTTCACAATGTTTCTCACATGGCATACATAACTTCACAACCTCTTTTGGTGTTTCCATAATTTCACAATGTTTTTTACATAGCATACATAGCATACATGTCAACATAATTCTTACAACGAAAATCATAACGTCAATAACGATAATTATTAACAGTTAAAGGTACATCGAAGTACTATTACTCACAGTGTTGTGATGACGTGCTAGTCCCTCCCGGAGTATGTCCTATACACCTTTAAAGTTCACAAATTAGCTTTCTTCTTCCTTGTTAAAATAATTCTTGAGTCATTACGCTTCAAATGAGTTTACAACCATCGAAAGATCATCAAAAATATTGTAAAAATAACAGAGGGTCGAGCACGCAAAACAGAGCTGGTATTCTTTCCGACCTGGGCCGCACGTGCGGCAGCCCCCTCCGCACGAGCGGACATGGACCGCATGTGCGGTCCCCCTCCTCTGCACGAGCGGCCGTAGACAGCATGTAAACCCAGATTTTTCCCTTTTCTCTGCCCGTGCGACCATGGCCTCCCCACGTGCGGCCAATCCCCTGTTTGGCAGTCTGAAAATTTGCAATCAAGCTCATCTTTTGGGGAATGTTTTCAAGGCTCAAGGATGGATCTTTTCAATACTAAATCATGGTTCAAAAACATGTAATTCAAGGTATCACATACACAATCTAACTTGCATTAACCCATGAACATAACTCAATTTGATTAACCAAGAATTGAAACTCATAAACACAATTCCATTTCTTGAAATTCTTAACTTTACTTGCATCCAACATAACATAAAGGCATAAAATCATGATCATAAGAATAAATACCAAGGTGATAATGAAGAAGACACATAAATGATAGGATTAACATACCAAAACTTCAACATACTCATCCAAGATTCTCAATATACTCTAGATCATGCCATAATAAGAACTTCCTATTTCAAATTGAGGAAGAGGATTAGACTAGGAATATTACACTTACCTTAGCTTCAATTTCCCTCAATTCTTCCTTGAAGAACCCTTCTTCCTCAAACCCTTCTTTCTCTCTAACTTCCTTCTCTCATGATAGTTTGAGTTCCAAGTTCATAAGTCAACATAAGAGGATAGCTACATATATATCCATAAGGATTGAATAGGACAAAATTCTATCGTTTAATCATGCCGAAATTGAAATTTCGTAAACATGCTTAATATTACCTAAAAATTATGTTGATCACATATATATATATGCAATTTCAGATAATTAAGTCTCTAGGGCTTCCAATTTTTGATTTAACATTATGATTGTAACAGATGCTTTTCCTTATTAAACAGATACAGGTTCGATTCATAAGACATATATTTACTTAAACTTAATTTTTCATGACGTTTCACATTAAGCATTTGAAAGCACAGAATGAAGACTAAAATATAGCAGAATCACATACGAGGGTCAGGTTATTACAACGCATGTGTTAACTTTTGTATACGAACTCTGATGAATGAAAGCATATTATTTATGTTATTCGTCTGCTTATGGATGGGATTTATTGTAATATTTTGGGGGCGTTACAACTTGGTATCAGAGCATTCCGAGTTTGAATACTTTAGATACGTGGGAAGTGGTTATTACCACAATGGGTTTGTCTCGCTTAGTTGAGAAATTAGTATATATTGTATGCTTATGTGATAACATGCTTATATGATTATATGGGTATGAGATTTAGTTCCTAAGCTATTGATTGGGTCGACGGGTTTCTAGAAGTCCTATTAGAAGAGCACTTGATCGCTATTATTTCTAATTGAAACTCTAGCAACACCGCCGGATGATCATTATCTAGGAAGGAAATTCGTATGTGTTTATATGAATACTTGCTTATGTGGAGTGAGTTATTGTGGTCAATTGCCTTAGGACATGAGTGAGTTAGCTTCGGCACATTTGTAGATGTGCTAATTTCTTTTGTTACCTCCATTAAGATGTCAAGACATGGTCATGACGGTAGGAGTGGTAGGCTTAAAAGCCATGACGTGGCCATACTGGATGACATTCTGGCACAGTAGAAGGGAGTTGGTCAGGCCAATATGGCCGAACCAGTGGGTTAGCAGGCCATGGGTGCCTTAGCTCGTGAAATGGCCAGAGCATTGTGAGAATCTTTGGACATTCTCTGGGCAGAGAATCAAGTCTTGGCCCATGTAACTGAAGCAGGGCCATCCTTCTTAAAGAGAGAGTTTTTTTGATCAAATCCGGATGAGTTTTTGGGTGATCCCAAGGAGCCACTGATGGCAAATGAGTGGCTAGAGCAAATAGTGAAGACGTTCGAGATGTTTGGCATCGAGGACGACCAATTATGGGTGACCTTGGCTTCTTTCCAGCTGAAAGGAGATGCGGGTTAGTGGTGGAAGTATGCGTGTGGGCGCATTGGGGTGACTTGGGATGCTTTTGTCAGCACCCTCCAAGACAAGTTTTTGCCTCCCACAGTTAGGGAGAAGTTGAGAGATCAGTTCTCTAAATTGGTTTAGTTGAACACACCAGTGGTCGAGTTTGCGGCCATCTTCACTAGCTTATCTAGGTTTGTACCTGAGCTTGTGGCGACTGAGGAGCACCGTTGCTTGGAGTTTGAGAAGCGGTTGAGGAACAGGCTCATGTTTAGAGTGGTCAGATTCGTGATTAGAGATTATGGACGCCTTGTAGAGGCGGCGGCCCATCTTGAGACGATTGTGCAGATGAAGGAAGAGAGAATGAGGGGCTCTAAGAGGAGTCAGGACAGTCAGGGAGACAGTAAGAAGCAGAGGGGTTCTAACCCCCAGTCGTCCCAGGGAGCACAGTTGTGGTCCACTTTTCAAGTATCGAGTTCGGGTTTTGGAGGAGTGGTCAAGGAGATGTGACTTGTTACAAGTGTGTTCAGCTGGGCTACAAGTCTCCAGCTTGCCCGCAGAAACAAAGAAAGCAGTGAGCACCATCGTCTTCGGCTCATTCTCTGGGCCAGAGTTAGAGGAGAGGGTAGCCGCACACTTGTTATCAGTGTGGGCAGGCGGGGCACATGAAGAGATTTTTTCCACAGTTGGGTGGCACGTCTAGTGCATCTAGTTTGAGGCAAACACAGAGCCACTAGCCTGCACAGTCAACATAGGCCTTGAGGGCCAATCTGGAAGCCTCTTCAACTCAGTCAGTACATCAAACTTATGCTCCGAGGGGTGAGGAGGTTGAGCAGAGACCTACTGAGCGTGTGTATGCTGTTACAACGCCAGATCTTGTACTAGCGCCTTCTGTAGTGAGAGGTACCTTTTTGTTTTGCAATTCAGTTGCCAATGTGTTGATTGATAAGAGTGCCTCCCATTCTTTTATCTCGTCTGCATTTGTATCGATTATGGGGTTAGAGTTGGCTCAGTTAGCATCTCCTATCTATATAGAGTCACCTATTGGTGGTGAAGTTATTTTGAGACAAGGATGTCGGGGTTGTGACATCAAGGTTGTAGTCGTCGATTACCTTTTGCATTTGTATTGCTTGTTATGTCCAGTTTTGATGTTATTTTGGGTATGGACTGGCTATCGTCATACCGGGCTGTTATAGATTGCTACCGTCAAAGGGTTACTGTATGTACCTTGAGCGATGATTGGTTTTATTTCTTAGGGAATCGGGTGGATAGAGTCTTATCACTAGTGTATGATCTGCGTGGTTGTCTTCTTGCTAGCTTTTTGAGTAGTGAGTGTGATAAAGTCCAGGTTGAGTTGCCAAGGGTAGTTTGTGAATAC